TAGCTCTTCTGGAGAATTGTTTTGTTCTTTCATTTGGGGCTTGTTTTTTTTTTTCTCCCCATTAGGGCTGCCTATTTAGGTTTGTTTCTATGCTATGACTTTTTTGGAGGGTGGGTCTCTGGTGCAGAATAATATCAGATGCTATTTGTGACTGGCTCTGAGTACCCTGCTTGAACCTATCAGCAATCCACAGCTGTGGTTCTCTCTACTGGGGCTGGGTACCTTTGGAAAGGACCAAGATGTGCACCAAAGTCTGCTATTCCTCACCCTGGGTCTAGAAGCCGATCAGGCAAAGATGCAAAGCATCCAGAGATCCACCTCTGCCTGCAGTCTGATTGTTATTCTCAATTTCTTAATGAGCCTCAGGCTGTAGACCACAGCAAGGTATAGACTACACAGGATGTGGCAAGGTTTTCCAACAGGGTGGGGCAATTGCTTCCCCCCAGGCAAAAGCTGCCTGGATGGTAAATGTCTGCTTGAGAAATATATCCTCTGCAATACAGGGGAATGACTCAGCACAGGAAACCAGGGTGGCTGCCTTCCTAGCTCTAACCCCAGAGCTCTCAACCCTGGATTCTCCTCACACAGCTCTACTTCACTCTACCCTCCCTCTCGGAGAGCCCAAGATGAGTGACTGACGTGTAATTTTGTGCACTGGCCCTTTAAGAGGGTGCCTGCTGTCCCTCCCTGGTAGACAGCACCCTGCTGCTTTTCATAGACAGATGTTATGTGGGCTCCTTTCTCAGTTCTGGTGCTCTGGGCTGGGAGCCTAGCCTGGGCTTTAGACTCTAGAGTTCTCACAGCTGAGATAGCCCTCCAGGACTTCAGCTGCTCTCTGTGGGAGCCTGGCCAACCCTCTCGTGCCTCTGTCCTTCCTAACAGTCTCCATCCAGTCTCCACTTTCCATCCTTGGTTATCAGGTTCCCTCCAGCTAGTCTTCAATTCATTGTTTGAGATGGTTTTCCTATATTTTAGTTGTAATTACAGCTTGGTCCTGGGAGAATGTCAGTGTAGCTCCCACTTAATCTGTCACCATTTTTCTATCTCTGTAAGTTTTTATTTTAATTTCAGATTCAGTGGGACTTTATATTTGGGCTTTTATGCATCTAAAATCAGTAGTGTTTATTAGGGTTATTTTGAGCTAGCATCTACTAACTGCCCTAGGGATAGTTCTGTGGAAAGATGCTTTTTATGGTAGGCTTACGGTTTGGAGGCTCCAAAACCATGCAAATCATATACATTTCTGCTTAAACATAAGTTATTTGAGGCCAATTTATATATGGATTTTCAGAGGTGATTTTACCTCCCAGAGATCAGTGAAGACAGACAAACCACCTTTTCTCTTTGTCAGCAGAATAACATTTTCTGGACTATTCTTTTAGTAAGAGTTCAGTCCTTCAAATGTTCAGTTTTGTGGAGTAAGAAATGGTCAGAGGGGAGAGGACAAGAATCTCAGTTCTAACTTCCTGCTTTAATTTGTCAAAATCATCCTCTTTTACCCTTGGCAATACTATGAAGCCAAAAAGGCATCACATAAGCTGTTTTAAGAACCTGAAAAAGCATTAGAAACTATGATTCCTAGTAAATGACTGTAGACGTTTAATTTATAGATGGCAATTTACAGTCATTCATACTTTATAAAAATCTATGCCATTAATGATCAGAGAAATGCAAATTAAAAATGACAATGAGATACCACCTCACACCTGTCAGAATGGCTATCATCAATAAATCAATAAACAACAAGTACTGATGAGGAGAAAAAGGAACCCTAGTGGACTGTTGGTGGGAAAGCAGACTGGTGTAGCCACTATGGAAAACAGTATGGAGCTACCTCAAAAATTAAAAATAGAATGCCTTATGACCCAGCAATTCCACCTCTGGGAATAAAAAGAAACCTGAAACACTAATTAGAAAGAATATATACACCTCTATGTTCATAGCAGCATCATTTACAATAGCCAAGAGTTGGAAGTAGCCCAAGTGCCCATTAGTAGATGAGTGGCTGAGAAAATCATGGTACAGTTGCACAATGGAACTACTTGGTCATAGAAAAATAAAAAAGAGGGAAATCTTACCTTTTGTGACAGCATGGGCCTGCAGAGTATTATGCTAAGTGACATAAGCCAGTCAGAGAAACACAGATACTATATGATTTCACTGCACGTGGAATCTAATGAACAAAATAAATTAACAAAATGAAAACAGGCTCATAGACACAGAGAACAGACTAACACCTGGGACTGGGTGAAAAAGGTGAAGGGATTAATCAAAAAGAAAAAAAATGAAAGAAAAAAAAACCTCCTAGACACAGGCAGAATGGTGGAGAGTATGGTGTTACCTCAGGTAAAGGTGGGTGGGAGGAGGAAGGAAAGAGTACAGGGGGAATAAATGGTGATGGAAGGAGACTTGACATCAGGTGGTGAACATACAATATAATATACAGATGATTTATTACAGAATTGAACACCTGAAACCTATATAATTTTATTAACCAATTTCACCCCAATACATTCAGTTAAAAAATAAAATACTTCTGTTAGATAAAAAAACAAACACATTTGGATTAGTAGGGCCTTTCCTTAGTATCTAGTTGCTAGAAACAAGATGTCTACTACCTTATTCTTTCTTACCCTGCCCACCTCTCCTTCCTGTACATAACTAAGATACTTTATATTCACCCAAAGGCCATGTTTCATTTTTGTCCCGCCCTTATCTGCTTTAATAATTTATACCAAACTTGAGGCCCAGTGCACGAAATTCATGCATGGGTAGGGTCCCTAGGCCTTGCTGACAATCAGGGCCAATCTGTGGGGTGACCAGTGAGGTGATGGGGGAGGGGCCTCCACAGGCACCCGCCTTGGCCGGCCTGATGCCACCCATTCCCTGGCTCTGCTCCCACCCCCCTGCCAGTCACCTCTCTCTGCATGGTGACCAGCAGGGCGATTGAGGTCCCCACTGGCACCAGCCTTGTCTGACCTGGCACCCCCCGCTCACCATCCCTGCCCCCACTGCCGCTGCCAGTCGCCTCCCTCTGCGGGAGGTGACCAGCGGGGCTATTGGAGGGCGGTGCTGGCTAGCTCACTGGCCTGCCCCACTCCCCGTCGCTGCCCTCTGGCTGGCCCCACCCTGTACCACTGCCTGCTCGGCCCCACCCTGTACCACTGCCTGCTTGTCGGCCAGCCCTGCCCCCTACCACCACCGGTCGCTGTCCTCTGCAGGGCGACTGGCAGAGCAATCAGTGGGCCCCCGCTGGCACCCGGCTTAGCTGGCCTGGGGCGTGCAGGCTAGGTGCAGCTCCGTGTATGCCCCCTGGTGGTCAGTGCACGTCATAGCGACCAGTCGTTCCACCAGTCATTCCCATGTTTGGTCGATTTGCATATTAGGCTTTTATTATATAGGATATCAACTGAGTATTCCTTTCAATACAAAAATTTATTCTGCTCCTGTTAAAAATCTGAGAATTCATATCACAACCAATCATCATCTTATTCCTCTTGGAAAAACTACTTTAAAAATATAAAATGAAGTAAATGTCATTATATTGCCATGACATTTTAAAAATGTCATATAATCTGAGAAATATTTAGCAGTCTAAAGGATTCACATATAGTTTTAAAATATTCTAATATAGTTTTATGAAGTTTTAGGGAAAGAGAGAAACATCAATGAGAATCATCATCAATCAGCTGCCTCCTGCATGCCCCTTACAAGGGATTGAGCCCTCAACCTGGGCATGTACCCTGACCAGGAGTTGAACTGGTGTCCTCTTGATTCGTAGGTCGTCACTCAACCACTAAACCACACTGTCCAGGAAGTTTTGAAATATTTTTTAAGTAAGAAACTTTGTTTAAAGCTCATCCCATAGAGTGGGGTAAAGGTGGGGGGTACTTATCTGTACTACTACTAACAATAAAAAAAAACTTCATCCCATAAATTGGCAGAGAGTTTAGAATATATGTTAAACAGATGTTTCTTTAACCAAACTAGCAAGAGATATTAGTTTACAACAGTGATATTCAACCTTTTTCATTTCACAGCACACAGAAACTAATTACTAAAATTCTGCAGCACACCAAAAAATACATTGTTTGCCATTCTGACAAAAAATTTAGGAATAATTTCAATAGATTTACCCAAAAAGATTAATAGTGATTACCTACCCTTTTTGCTGCAAAGTGACTTTTAAAAAATCAGGTGCCTACATGCCTGAGTTGCTGGCTCAATCCCCAGTGAGGGAGTGTTCAGGAGGCAGCTGGTCAATGTTTCTCCCTCACATTGATGTTTCTATCCTCTCTCCCTCTCCCTTCCTCTCTGTCTAAAATCAACAAAAACATTTAAAACATAAAAATAAAAAATCTGGCGCCTATACTTATATATAAAGATTTCTGGTTACCAAGAATTAACTTATTATACACAACCTTATGCATTGTGACCAGTAAGATGCAATTCTGTAATGTATATTTATGCTTCAACACAGGGCTTCAACACAGCATTCACACCTAATGGCTAGTTTTGTGTTGGCTGTTGTCATTTTAAAAAATATATATATTTTATTGATTTTTTACAGAGAGGAAGGGAGAGAGATAGAGAGTTAGAAACATCGATGAGAGAGAAACATCGATCAGCCACCTCCTGCATACTTCCCACTGGGGATGTGCCCACAACCAAGGTACATGCCCTTGACCGGAATCAAACCCAGGACCTTTCAGTCCTCAGGCCGACGCTCTATCCACTGAGCCAAACCGGCCACAGCTGTTGTAATTTTTTTATTTGACAATCTAAGGGAAAAGAGGTCAGTGCCCCTGACTAAACAGTAAGGTATTACGTGTTTTAAAAATTCTTGTGGCACACCAGTTGAAAATCAGTGGTCTACACTATGTATCTTTAGATAGCACTGGCAATTAATAAGATATTTGATAAAATATAATCCATTTTCAGATGTATATATCTATGTCTCTCTCTCTCTCTATATATATATGTATTTTTTTATATTTCAGGAACTTTACTTGTTGTGATATGGTTTGCAATCTCATCAATCTCAAGCCCTGACCATTACCCTGATAAAAATTCATTTCAACTATTATTTGTCTTTTGTTGTTCCGTAATTGGGGGGAAACTTTTGGAAGTCATTAGAATACCTTCAGTGCCTCCACTTCCACCTCTTTTTGGTAAGGGTATAATTAACTCTAATTTCTTTTTATTGATTACATGTAAATTATGAGCATATTCTAGTCAGAATAAATATAATTTAGAAATGTTTTAATGTAATATAATTTATATAGCATCTTTATATGTGTATGTATTGTATATGTGTGTATATATTGCTAATTTATAGAAGTATTCTCTTTATATATACACCCACAGATTTTTCCTGAAATATATTTTTAAAATAACTTAAATATACTCAGTATATGATTCTTGTTGCTTTATCATTTAATAGGACATTTTTTACTTAATTTTAAATGTATCATAGAAAAAATTAGGGAAACACTGATTTTTTCTGTAGATAACCCAATTCAATTACAAATTCAAATATTATAGTGTCAAAAAGTCTTACAGTTTTTGAGTAAGCTGTTTGGGCATCTCCACTATGTGTATTCATAGATATATCATCTGCCTGACCTGTTTTATACCTATTTCTTCATCACCTTTTAACATAACCTCCAGGTGGACAGAGGAAAATTAATGAAGAACTATCAGAGATGCCTCATATCTTCTAAGTATTCTGTCCATCCAAAAATTCAGTAAAATTGTAATAGTAATAATCTCCATTTTATTTCTAACACCCTTACTATGTCCATTACACTCTTTTAGCACTTCCTAAGTATTCGTTGAATCTTCTTTTCTCCTCTTCAAAATTTGACTCTTGTTCTAGCTTAAGCAATATTTCCAACTCTACTATGGACTATGGTAGAGGCTTTTCAGTGGTCTCTCCTCCAATTTTATGTCTGTCTATTCACCAAGACCATCACATAGTAAATGCAAGAGTCATTATGTCACTTCCTGCTTAAAACTTTCCCACGGTGCCTTACTCTGCCAAAGCAGGTGGGAGTGTGGAGTGGGAGTATATATTCACAATCTGAGGCCCATTCTCCTGCCCATTCTCCCACTCCCATTTTTGCCTCCATTAAGATATATCATTTTTTACTTTCATTTCTTTATGCTGTCCCCTCTATTTGTGTGTAACTTGCCCTTCACCAAAGTAATGAAAGACATAGTGTGTTTGAAAAAGGGAAATTAAACATTTCTGTTTTCCTCTTGGAAAAATGAACTGAATCAAACACGATTTATTTTCTTTTTTGAAGGGATGTTATTGGCTGGTTTTGCCATTAGGAATACTCCATATATCAGTGAGCGCATCCATGTTAGTAAGGAGTGGTCTTCAACTTTAAGAAATATTGCCCTTACCCTTATCCTAATAAAAGCTGGACTTGGACTCGATCTACAGGTAGATTTCCCATCGTACCGTGAGTAAAGTTACTTTAAATATTAGAGGCTGGTAGAAAAGAAAAAGAGGAAGAATTTTTGTTATAGCTATTTCAAGTGGAATCTGTAAGCAAAACTAAGATACAGAACAAAAATTTGCAGAAATATTGGCACCTTAATTTATACTTCTTGTCATTACTACTGATATGAAGAGAAAAGATCTCCATTAGAGATAGTCTTTAATTATTTGCATAGAGATAAATGGCCCTTATCCAGCATTTGTATTTGGGAGTTGTGGCTCTTCTATGTAGAACTATTTGCTTTTTAGTTAACAAAGGATAAAGTACCCTATAAAAGTTTTTTGCTTTTATTTTATGTTTTTTTCAGAGAGATTAAAAATTTCAATAATATTTTTGTTTTATGACTTTTCCCTATAAAAGTATGCTCCCGATTATTTTTGCATTATTGTAAAAGCTAATCTTTTCTAACATTTTCTAAAATATTATTATCTAGGGATCATAAATCTATTTGGGTTTTAAAAAGATTCACATAACAGCTTCTCAAATAGATGTGACAAATATATAAGTTTAGTGGTACTATCTCAGGAGTATAATTATAGACAGTGCTAATTAATTACGTTCTACAATAGAAAGTTTAAACCAATGAAAAAATTTTAATGTTCTCCCTTTTAGTTAATTATGCAGCTTTTAAGTGATTTTCTTTTTTATCATGTTGATATTTTTTATTTACAATTATTAAGTTAATCAAATAGTTCATCTCTGAAAGTTAACTGATGGATATAAACCTATACTTTCATTATACTGTTTACTAGGAAGATTAAGGGAGATAGTTATTTAAGCACAAAGAAATTGATCTTTTTTAACAATTAAAATACAACAGTGTTTGCCCCTGGCCAGGTAGCTCAGTTGGTTAGAGCATCCTCTTGCTACGCCAAGGTTGCTAGTTCTATTACTGGTCAGGGCACATGCAAGAATCAACCAATGAATGCATAAATGAGTGGATTGACAAGTCAATCTCTCTCTCTCTCTCTCTCTCTCTCTCTCTCAAATCAATTAAAAATAAATTTGATAAAATGTGCAGTGGTTTGTAATCCAATCTATCATGACATATAAAATGATTTGTATGAACATTTCAATCCCAGAAACAATCAGGAAGACTTAATTTAGTCTAAGACTATATATTTTAAAATTTGCTTAAATAATTTTCTTGCTGGCCATTATAAGTGTGTCTAAATATGACTGTGTTTATATTTCAGGCTTTGAAGCGTTTGACGACAGTTTGCATAAGGTTGTCCATGGGGCCATGCCTCATGGAGGCATTTTCAACTGCTGTTATTTCCCACTTCCTTTTGAATTTTCCCTGGCAATGGGGATTTCTTTTAGGGTAATTTTTTTCTCATTTTTCCCTATGAAAATTTTTAGTTAAGGATATTTGATTTAAAAGTATTGATATACTCAGAATATTGCACAGATAAGATTCTCATTAGAATCATTTTCATAGTGGTAGAACACCTTGGAAATCAGTAGGTCAGAAGCAGTCATGTCCTAAAATTACCGTATCCTTGACAAGCATGTATAATGTCTAAATGTTAATATAATTCACCTCATTGATTTATTCATTCTCTCCTATATTGTAATCTTTCTCTGTTTTTAATCTATCTAATGGCCTCTTCTACACTACATGTATGTATAACATATACATATATGTGAGGGAATTTGTATAAAGATAGATATTATAAGCAAAAAATACTCTTCTCTAGATCCAGTGTCACATCTATTATTTTCCAACATTCATTTTCATTCATGTCCAGATCCTTCAGAATAATAGTCTGCAACCCCTATCTCTGGATCTTGAACTTCTCTTCATTTTTCCATCCATTTAAATTTTGCCTCCACATATCCATTCCAATGAAACTTATAGCAAAGTTTACCCATTATATACATACTGCCAAATTTAATGAATCTTTTAAATTAAACTTTATTATTTAAAAAAAAAGCCTTTTGAGCATGCCTTAAAATCCTGCTGCCCATTCCCCTACCCAAAATGACAACTCTTTTAAAAAATATATATTTTATTGATTTTTTTACAGAGAGGAAGGGAGAGGGATAGTTAGAAACATTGATGAGAGAGAAACATCGATCAGCTGCCTCCTGCACACCTCCCACTGGGGATGTGCCCGAAACCAACGTACATGCCCTTGACTGGAATCGAACCTGGGACCCTTCAGTCCACAGGCCAATGCTCTATCCACTGAGCCAAACCGGTTAGGGCAATGACAACTCTTATGAGTTTATATCATTCTAGGCTTCTAAATCTTCGTGAAGGAGTATAATTTTGTATATTTTTATATGTCATATCTTCTATCTGTGACTAACCTGTTCATACATATCCTTTGTCCATTTTTCTATTCAGTTATTTTTCTTTTCCATTCATTATATCAAATCTTTGTGTGTTATAGGAATTGCAAATATCTAGTCCCAGTGTACCACTAGATATTTAACTTTGCTTATAATAACTTTTAAATCTAAAAATATTTTATTACTTCCAACAGATAGAATGTTCACTACATAAAACCATTCACTTGACCTTGAAAATAAAAAATAGTGAGTGGAGGGAGTCAGAATATAGCTGCTTTTGATATACCAAAGTGTTTTAAATGTAATAAATTTTAACAATATTTCTCTTTATGTTTAATATGAGTCATTCAGAAGGTCCTTCTTGCCCCTAGTGATGAATATATTCCTCTGTATTTTATTCTTATTACTTCCACTAGCTCTGTTTTAAAAAATTATTTAAACAGAATTTTTATGTGTGGGGATCCAGCTACATTTTTTCCACATGAATAGGTAATGTCTCAACACCATTTACAGAAAAGTTTTTTCTTCCCACACTGATTTCAAATGTCAATTTTATTCTGTAACCGATCCCTTAGATTTGTTTCTATACTTTGTATTCTGTTTTCCTCCAATCTATTTTGTCTTATTTCTGTCACTATTACACACTTTTAACAATTTTACTTCACACAAAAATACGTTGTTTTTACATTAACTGGATTTTCATTCTAAGCTCTTATTCTCCCAAATAAATTTTAGAATCAGTTATTAAAGTTCAATGAAAAATCCTGAAAGGATTTTCTTTTCTTTTCTTTTTTTAAATTAAATCTTTATTGTTCAGATTATTACATTGGTTCCTCTTTTTTCCCACCATAACTCCCCTCCACCCAGTTCCCACCCCACCCTCCGCCCTCACTCCCCACCCACTGTCCTCATCCATAGGTGCACGATTATTGTCCAATCTCTTCCCGCATCCCCCACACCCCTTTCCCCCCCAAGAATAGTCAGTCCATT